GTATAATAGTAGTCGTAGCAGTAGCAGTAGTAGTAGCAGTAGCCGAAGCAGTAGCAGTAGCAGTAGCAGCAGCAGCAGCAGCAGCAGCAGCAGCAGCAGCAGCAGCAGCAGCAGCAGCAGCGGTAGTAGCAGCAGTAGCAGTGGCACTGGCAATGGCAGTGGCTGCCCCTTGCCGCTTCCATTTTCGCTCCTTATGCTACTGCAAAGACTCTGAGCTTTCAGATTTTGCCGTCTGTGAGTCAATGACGAGAGCCTTGGCACCGAGGATGCTGACTGCTGGCAAGGCACGGAGGCAGCTCGCCTTCGCTGAAACCGCGAGGCCCATCGGCCTTCTGGATTCGGAGATAGCAATACGAATAGCAAGAATACTAACAATGATATTCATCAAAGTATGAATAATCATAGTATTCATACTACACTATAACGACTGTAACAGGTTGTCACTTCCCTTGTTCCGAGCAGACTTCTGACCGCAGGTTGATGCCGTTTGAGACGATGTGGACTGCCATTTAGCTTCCTGGATTCGACAGCCGCACGGCGTAGTTGCTGGTGAGGCGCAGATGGCCAAACTTCGGCGAGTTGTGGACTGAGGAGGCACTAGAGTTGGGCACAGAGCCGCCTTTGCCACAGTCTGGCAGATAGGATTCAAAGGTGGCACGCCAAGTGCAGCAGCAGTGAGGTAGTGGTCGTGGGGGTGTGGAGGTAGTGAGCACAAATAGACGTGATGTCATTGGCATGAGCAGCAGGACTCGTCGGTTATCGGTTACTGCCGACAACAGAAGCAATAACAGTTGTAGTCAGCATCCTACTTGCAACCGTCGTCAACGCCATCACGGCCACAAAAACCTTCGACCATCTTAAGTACCCATAACAGACCATAAGTACCATAATACTCGTTAGGATACCGGATATACTATACCTTGCTTTAACCTGCAATCCTCCACTGTAGTGTACGCCAAAATGAAGGAAAACCTGATAGTCATACCGTAAACGATTCGGCAGGTCCCGCAGTGGAGCACTCCCAAGGCGCCTACGGGCCTTCTGTTTTGAACTTCTGGTTGGTTTCAGCTACTGGACAATCACATGCCTGCATGCCCACGCTCCGTGTCACTGCTTCGTTCCCTGTCAGCAATTATATAGTACCCCAAATAAGTAGGATCCTTATTCTAAGGACCCCAAATCAAAGTAAGGTACTCCTTATTTTCGGAAACTCCCGTATCTCATTCGCCCAGGCTTGGGCCGGGCTGGAGTGAGCAATCACATAGTATATAATAACAGAATAATATAATAAGATAAGATAACAATATAATAATGCAATAAGTATTCCATAATATAGTAATATAACAATTGTCTTGTTATCCTGAAGTGTTCCGCAGTACATCGTAGTATCTTATAGTACAGTGTTATCGTACAGTATGGTATGTTCAGGTACGTTCGAGTATCTTGTAGCATGTTGTTGTATATGAAAGTATAAGGTTCGGTCATTCCAAGGCGTAGTGGCCCGGTGTGTAAAGGCTTCTGAAACCCGAGAGCATGAGCATTTCGGGTTTGGGATTTAGGGTGTCGGGCAGAATTTCAGGTGGACCTGAAGTGTGACTTCTGGAAAAGCGGGAACAAGCGCTGCTTGGAGTCATTGGGGGGAGAGGGGGGTAAAGATCCCAGGGTTTTGGGCTGGAGGTGATGTGGGCTCCGACTTCATGTCAACGTGTGTGTTTTCCGGGAGATGGCAGATGCAGTGGACAACTTAGAATCGAGTTCCACATCTGGCATCTGCCTGGCTTGATATCCCCATAGCCAGGCTTACGAGGTCAAATCTACTCCGAAATTCGAAGCCCTGAAGCCGTAAACCCCCATTCCCAAACGTCACATCCCTCACACAAGGCTACTTGGAGGCTTTGCGTCGCTACGTGCGTGGCCTCGCCTCAGATGCGGACATGCGCGCGAAGATGCAGCTGCTGCCGAGCAAAACTAACAATAGTAATAGCAGTAGAAACAATATTAGCAATAGTCATAGTATATGTATCATCATCAGCAGCAGCAGCAACAGTAGCACACACAAGAGCTGCAATGATCGTTATAGTAGGCCAAGTTTCAGCAGGAGTAGTAGTAATAGTAGTAGTAGTAGTAGTAGTAGTAGTAGTAGTAGTAGTAGTAGTAGTCGTAGTAGTAGTAGTAGTAGTAGTAGTAGCAGCGGCAGCAGCAGCAGCAGCAGGAGGAGGAGTAGTTGTAGTAGCAGCAGTGCAGCAGCAGGGTTGCCGTGGTAGCGTCAGTGCGGCCAGTGCTGGTATTTGCCGATAGTGCTGGTTGTGCCACTCTTGCTACTAGAGATCAACAGTACTGGTTTTCCAGAAACAGTAACAGTAATCGTGATAGCAGCAGATGGCAACAGTAACGATGCTGCTGATGATGGTCATGTTTCTGATGGTGGTTGTGGCGAGTTGAGCTGATCCCAGGCTGTCCGATCTGGGCTTCCGACTCATTGAAAGCTTTGTCTCCGAGGAGGCCATCGACTTGCCTGCTTTTCGGCCTGTTCCTGCATATGGGAAGCTGCCACGGTCTTCTAGGTTGTTTTCGGCTGATTTGTTGGCCCACTTGGACCAAGTCATTCCATAAATCCCACGCCTATTCTGACATATTGATCAGAATCGCAGCCCAAGCTTTCGTGAGATGAAGAAATTAGAGAACAGTCTCTACGAAGGTTGCTAGAGCATATTCGGTCTGACACGTCCAGGAAGAGTCGGATCTGATGAACTACTGGAGTGCCGATGGCCCAGTTTTCGCCTTGGGCACCGAAGAGACACTTGGGCCCGGACACCCTTGTGCATTGTTCGATATGGCTGTATGTTCATGTCCCACAGAATAGATGAGACAAGAACGTCATGCATGCACGAGCAGTGGTTATGACGATGGGTGTGATGATGATGGCGATGATGATGCTTATGAGGGTTATTGTTATAATTGTGTAGGCTGATAAGTCCTTATGCATGAATCACCTGTTCACATTGCAGGTAGCAGGTAGCAGTTGTGACCGAGCTTTACGACAGTTGCTGCAATGCACCGGTTTGTCATGACATGAAATACTAGGCTTCTGCAAAGACGGCGAATTCCATTTTGTTGTTGTTGCTGCTGCTTCTACTACTGCTACGACGACGGCTGCTACTACCACTCCTGCTTCTGCTGCTGCGCTACTACTACGACTACTACGACTACTACGACTACTACGACTACTACGACTATTACGACTATTACGACGACGACGACGACGACGACGATGACGACGACGACGACTACTACTACTACTACTACTACTACTACTACTACTACTACTACGTAGTACTACCACTACTACTACTACTACTACTACTACTACTACTACTACTATGTAGTACTACCACTACTACCACTACTACCACTACTACGACTACGACTGCGACTGCGACTGCGACTGTGACGACGACCACTACTACTACGACGACGACGACGACTACCACTGCTACTGCTACCACTACTACTACTACTACCCCTACCAACAGCCTGGCGTCTAAACCCATTATACCAATGCGCGTTGGTATTCGGACTAGAACATTACGAAAGTACTGTAGATACCTAGTAAAGTGGAGATGCTCTGATAAAGTACGTCATCCTCCTGATACTGCTACTGCTACTGTTGCTGCTACTGCTGCTGCCTTTGGCAGTGGCAATGGACCTCTCCGACTACGTACGACGACAAAACGAAAGCACAACGCATCAAAGCCGAGGAAACGGTCCAGGCGCAGATTCTTCAACTATGGCGCCTGGGCTTGCTGATCCCATCTTTCGCTTTCGCTCCGAGCAATAGAGCCTCAACATGCCGTCAGCTGCTAGAGGGGCTGAAACCACTGGCTTCCTCAGCACCAAGATCCTGAACTCCGAAGCCGAAAGGTGGAAAGTCGCAGGGAAGCAGTTGCAATCAAAGCAGCGTTGCGAAGAAGCACACCTTCGGGGAGAGGTTATCGGTGGGTTGGGCTGAGGATTGCTCTACTCTCGGAGTCTCTGCATGGCTTTGAATGTCTGAGTCTATGAGGTGTAGGTGCCTATCCGCACTGAATCACTTTGATGCAGTCCTTGCAGTACTAAATCCTAACTGTATACAAGCGCAACTCCGTTCAGCGAGATGGCCTGAGGTTTTGCAGGAACATGTCGTGGTACTTAGTGTGGTGATGGCGACGTACCTTCAAGCATACATGTGCATCCCTGTCCTGCTTCCTGCAATGACGACCAGCCTGGATCAGGTCCCATACTGCCCAAGGAGACGCAAGGAACGACCAAATCCACCTTGTCACTTGGGGCGTTCTTGGGAACTCTTTGTTGTGCAGTCTTGAACCAACTTACACTTGTGCAGCAGTCTCAAATCAGACTCCCAGCCGTCAAAGGCACGTGATTCCGAGCGTCTTCGGCGCGATGCCGCCTGTGGTTGAGAAGCAAAGGCGGGATGCTACCTTATCTTACACTCTGTCTGAGAAGGTAGGGCAGAGGGAGTGGAGAGCTTTTGGAGATTCTAGTCATCTTTGCTTCATGTTAAGCTTTATTATCTAATATATTTTATCTATTATACTTAGGAGATCGTAGGAGGGCTTCGCCCTTGACGGCAGAGGCTCCAAGCACGGATCCGCGAGTCATCGCCGGTCGCGCCAGAGGCGGAGGACGACTTCGACCAGATGTACGCCCCTGGCACCCGGTTTAAGTATAGGGACCCACCCGTAAAAGGTACACCTAGTTTTCCGTTTTGGGGATGGGGATGTGTGGATTACAAATTTCAAGGTTCAGTGGCGCAGGACTCTTTCTGTTGGCTATAGGAAGCATGGTTGTCGAATCCGGCTTACCTGTAGGATCTAGCAGCAGAGTCCTTCGTGAAGTGCAGCAAATCCGAATGCGCAGTTTGGCGGTGCTTTCAGTCAGTCTTTCCTGCGTCCCTCCCTCTCCCTCTTTCGCATGCAGAGGTTATGGGAAACATGTTCAGACCCTTTCGAGATGCACAGATGCTGAGGTCAATTTCTACGACTCATCGATTAACAGCACCGCGGCCAGATCCAAGACAGAATCGCAGAGCTGTTGCTTCTGTAGAACCTCTTTGGCTGTTTAAGCTGAAGTAAAGCTCAACCTTCAACAACCCAGGTCATATCGATTACCATCATGACCACATGTCATGCATGAAGGGGACGCCGCTTGACTGCAGTCTTTCAAGGGTCCCAAGTTATCCAGCTCTGAGCCGTGAGCACCCTGAATCGCCCACACTTTAAGAAGGCCCATTGGGCTGGCAAATGCTCACCCCAAACCCCAAAACCCTACACCCTAAACCCCAAAACCCGAAACCCGAAACCCAGGGTGGCTGGCGTTAGCCTGGGCTCCGCCTGCAGGCTGCCGGACCCCAACGAGGGGGCTCTGGGCATTCAGGGTTTTCGGCTTCCGAGTTCAGGGAAAGGTCGTTCCTCCAGGCCCCAAAATCTCAAACATTTTCCAAAGCCTAAACTCCAAAACTTTAAGTCAGGACTGGGTCCCCGGTTTGGCCAGATTATTATGATTGCGCCTGCAGCTGTCGATCCGCTTTGTATCATCAGTTTGTGTATCGTGGCTGTTGTTACTTTTGCTTTCATGACCGGTTTAGTTGGTGGGGATATTGTTGTTGGTGGTGGTTTTGGTCGTCGTCGTCGTCGTCGTCGTCGTCGTGGTAGTGACATTGTCTATGAGTAGTAATATTCAAAAGCTCATTCTGATTATTCTTCTTGTTGTTGTCTGTATTTCTATTGTTGTTCTCATCACTGTTATTGTTATTCGCAGCAGCAGCAGCAGCAGCAGCAGCAGCAGCAGCAGCAGCAGCAGCAGCAGCAGCAGCAGCAGCAGCAGCAGCAGCAGCAATGGTAGTAGCAGCAGCAGCAGCAGCAGCAGCAGCAGCAATGGCAGCAGCAGCAGCAGCAGCAGCAGCAGCAGCAGCAGCAGCAGCAGCAGCAGCAGCGGCAGTAGCTCAGGAGTACTACCACTGCACCAAGGTATGGCCACTTAGGGAGCTAGTGGTAATATAAGAGAACAACAAAAAGAGAATTATCCTCTTTATTGGACTTTTTGCTAATTGGTTATGATATTCCATTTCTTTGCTTATAAGGTTGTGGGCGCGACAGTCTTGTTGCATGAGGCTTCGGCTGAGACCTCTAGAGTTTCGCGTCGCTGACGAAGCTCTGTGTCCCTCGGATGGAAGACTGGAAGAGGCTTGAGGCGTTAGGGCCTTAAAGTCTGACCAAGTAATGAAGAGTCCGGGGAAGTTAGGGTTGCACTAGGCTTTAACTTTCCAGGTCGGGAAGGTAGAGATCGCCCCTACTCCAACCCAGAGGTAGGAACCTGAGATTTTTCAGAGCCTCAGGCATCGATCTCCCCAGCCGTTCCCTCTTCTTCTTGAGCGGCCTCTCCCGCTGGCACCTGCAGCACGCTATCATGGACATGAGGCCCCGCAACTTCCGGGTGCCTTTGGGCTTGAGGGTTTTAAAATCTGCACCGAATCTGCACCTTGTCATGCTCATCGGGACCTGCTCGATGTAAGCTGTGGCAGGCAAGACCGACTCTCCCTGACTTTCCGGACGGTGGATCGGTAACGCGACTTCAGGCTATGGAATGCTGTGAAATCGAAGTCTCGAACCTGCCAAGTGTCAGCTCAAACGGATCTTCCGTAGCGCCGTAGCGGCGCGATTGTGAACTGCAGCACCTGTTGAGCCTTGCTGTCGTCGTTGCGGCTTGACGCATGTCATTGAAACGAGGCTGTTGCACAACGTTTGGTTGGGATAGAGGCTACTGGTGCTTCTTGCTTCCCCAGAAGCAGCACCAAGATAAACCGTAGACTTGAAGTGCTGCAGGCTCTTCAGAGGCAGTTCAGATGGCATCTGAGGTCCGGAAGCCGTTCGCAGCTCTGGAACCGCAGCTGGGCACAGCTTCGTGGAGCTGAGGCGCACACCGCTGGGAGCCCTTCGACGCGCCCTCCCATGTCTAAGCTGTGGAACGATGAGGCCTACTGTAACACCTTAGGGCCCTAGAGCCCTACATAAGGCTCCCGGGCCCGACCTTCTGAGTGATCCGTGCCCTGTGGCGAGGCAGCGAATGCTCTATGGCCTTTGGCTGCTTTCCTGAAGGAGTGTTTCTTCCAAGTTGGGTCCTTTCAAGGTTGCTGTCAAACATCCACTAATCTTGAGGCGCTCCCTTCACCCATACAATCCCACCGTCGAAGGACCAATCAATCGTGTGATGCGCCTGTGGGACGAGAGTTGAGGTAACTCCAGAGGGATGGGAGTTGCACCGCCTGGAGCGTTGGAACTGGCGTGGCTCGCCGGCATGCTTTCCGTCAAGGCTGAATTGGCCTTCTGGTCTGGGTATGTCTGGGTGCCACAAGTGTATACGGTCTAAATGTCTATGTGCTGGGAGGGCAGTGGCAGGCTGTATGCCTTCCCTAGGCTAAGCGGGAATTCTGTTTAATCCTTGGAGCAGCCGACATGGGGCCACAGAGTGAGCTCTGGATGTGTGTGTGTGTGTGCTGCTGACGTCCCGCTTGAGGTTCCGAAGAGCCCGAAAGTCACAGTTACTACCGCGTCCGACGCTCCAAGGGTGCCGGGCCCAGATGTTGGTAAGTCGGAGCCGTCCTCTTCATTGTCTTGATTCATCATCCTCGGTCATGACCATCTGACCATCGCCATCACTCAAAATCAGAACATCGCCATCATCAGAACCCCCCAAGCTTCACGCCTTAGTTTCGGAACCCAGGCCCCAATGAACGAATCCAGGGATGTTCCGCTGCGCAGAGGCCCAGAGAAGGCTGCGGATGGGAGCGGGAACTCTTCCAAGGTCGCCAACGGGACGCAGGCTCTCCGAATCCTGAGCTTAGTCAGGGTTCCTTTCTCTACTTATGTTCTAAAGGAGCCCAAAACCCAATTCTATTCATTAAAGCCCCTACATTACGCATGATCAGGTGTAGTTCAACCCAGGATTGAAGAGAGTTAAGAATGACGATGCAACATACCTGCGCAATGCGAGTAGTGCTAAGAAGGGCAGGCAGAAGCGGCAGTGACAGTAGACATGGTGCTCAGTATTTGGCATAGTAGCATACTTATCACCGGCAAGTTCAGGAACCGACTCAAGGCCTGTAGTATCCAGCCACGAAGCATGACCATGGTCACCAACACCAGTTGTGAGTTCGCATGCCGAGGGACCGCTGCGAGCTGCAGAGTTGCATGAGAAGCCATGCTTCATGGGTTGTGGTTTTGAAGTGCTCCAGGTCCGAAATCCGGAAGCTCTGTTGCTCAAGCCGTTCGTGCCCAAAGCCATCGGCCGCAACGGCGAAGTGTCGTTATCTGATTATCCGTAGAAGATGGGCAATCTTTGCTGCCCGATTTGCCCTCCTGCTGGGCCTTCTCCAGTTATTGTGCACATCTACGATGTGACGGGCACTGCACCATTTAAAGTCTCTAACGAGGTGATGCGCCCGTTTGGGACCGGTGCCTTCCACGCTGCCGTGGAAGTTCATGGAACCGAATGGAGCTTCGGGGCGATGCTTGGTTGGCTTCTGGTGCATGTTTTGTTTTTCTGACATTATGGTGTCCTTCAGCTCACCCCTTGACTGCAATGATGAAATGCTGTGCTGGAAGATGACATGTGTGCAGGGAAGAGCGCTGCAATTGATGCGCCAAAATCATTCTGCAGATATAGTTTTCGATATACAAACACATTTCCATGTTCACGAGTATTGCTCGCATGGGTCAGGGGCCAACCAAGGTCGCGGTGCGGCTCTGGCATCGTCCAAAACCCACCTCGAGAGTGCCAGCTGCACTCGTATAGAGAATCAGTGTTCATGGGATACACCGACCTCTCGCCTTTCGACGTGGAGATGGTGATAGCCCACATTACCCCGAGATGGCGAGGCAAGACATACAACGTCTTTTGACAAGAACTGTTGCCATTTCGCCAATGAGCTGTGCCAACCTTAGTTGTTTCTAAGCGCATGCTTCGCAAGCACGCGGCTATCCTAAGTACGCTTTCAATATATTCATGCTTACCATGCTTCTGTTACGTTGGAAAAAGGCAGCAAGTAGAAGAAGAAGTAGCCGTGTCAGCAGTAGTAGTAGTAGTAGTAGTAGTAGTAGTAGCTGTAGTAGTAGCTCTAGTAGTAGTAGTAGTAGTAGTAGTAGTAGTAGTAGTGGTAGTAGTAGTAGTAGTAGTAGTAGTAGTAGTAAGCAGTAGTAATAGATAGCAGTAGTACTAGTCGTAGTAGTAGTAGTAGTACCAGTAGTAGTAGCAGTAGTAGTAGTAGTAGTAGTAGCAGTACTAGTACTAGTACTAATAGTCGTAGTCGTAGTCGTAGTCGTAGTCGTAGTCGTAGTCGTAGTCGTAGTCGTAGTCGTAGTCGTAGTCG